CACACACACACATCTCTTTATCCATTCATCAGTTGATGGACACTTGGGCTCTTTCCATAATTTGGCTATTGTTGAAAGAGCTGCTATAAACATTGGGGTACATGTGCCCCTCCAGTTCTGATGACCAAAGGGTTAGCATGAAGGTTCTTAGAACCTTAGAACCTTCATGAAGGTTCCTCTACACAAGAGGTTCTTAGTTTGTTACTGGCTTAGAAACTCTGCACATGAACGTGCTAGAAATTACAAGAAAAAAGAAATGTAGGTTTTCTCTGCTTCATCCCCTTCTTCTCTCTGCCTCAGCACAAATTCATACAGAAGAGTCCTGGCTTCCTAAAGCCTTGTCGTCAGCAGGTGTATTTGAATGCACTCAGAACAACCACTCTTATGAAGGCGAGAATTTTATTTCTGCCACTGACAGTGTGTGTTGGGACACTGGAGAAACTATCTGGCCATGCTAGGCAGAGATCTGGAAGTCATCCATGGGTGTGGCCAGAGTCTTTCTGTAGCTACTAAGCTGAATTTTAAAAAAGAAAGCCACATAGCCCTACAGAGTATTACTCGGTATGCTTTGTCTTAAAATAGAGACCAATGTCATCTCATCCCGTGGTTCTCAAATGTTACTACAATTTAGAATCCCTAAGGAAGCCTTCAAGTTACCAATATTCAGACGGCATCTCAGACTAATTATACTGGCCTATCTAGGAGTAGGTCAAGGCTTCATGGTCTTTAAAGCTCTACAGGTGATTTCAATGTTCAGTTGAGCTTGGTGATCAAACCCCCTTGTTACTCGAGGGACCAGCAGCATGGGCACGACCTGTGAGCTTGATAGAACTTCAAACAAACTCTAGCATTGCTAGAAGTAGATCACCGACCAAATATGACAATAAGGGAAGACACAGAAAAAAATGTGCAAAGAACAAACACAAGAGCTCCAAGAACAACAGAGTCCTGGGACGATTTAGTATAGAAAGACCCACAACATCCCCAGAGTACATATTTTCAAGTGGAGGAGACAGATCATAAACAAAACAGCCTAATAATAATATTTGCTAGTCAGATATGTATTAGGAAGGAAATCAGCAGGGTTCTGTGATAGAGAATAGTGGGGTGTCAATTTCAATAATAGCAATAAACATGACGATCATAATAGCCGTGCAATGGGAATTCCTAGAAGGCTTTAAGCAGTGGAAGTGACCTGATATCATTTACATTTTAAAAGGTCACAGGATGAGGGGCGCCTGGGTGGCTCAGTGGGTTAAGCGTCTGACTCTTGATTTTGCTCAGGTCATGATCTCACAGTCACGAGATGGAGCCCCACTATGGACTCCACGCCTGAATGCACAGCCTGCTTGGGATAAAACAAATAAATAAACATTTTTTAAAAAATAAATAAGAGATCACGGAATGAGCAGTCCAAGCGACCTTTTTAAAAAGCAAGTCGTATCATGTCAGCAAAACGTTTCAATGACTTTTGCACCAACCCAAAGTAAAGCCAAAGTTGTCAACGTCCTCTGTAAGCCCTGCAACACCTGATGCCCTCCACTGTCCTCCTTCCTCTGCTCTAGCCGTACTGGCTAGTTTACCATCCCTCAGACACATCAAGCATGATCAGGGCCTTTGTCTTTGCTCTTCCCTCTGCTTAGAACTCTCTTACCCAGATATTTGCACGCCTGCTATCTTTTGGGGTTTCTGTCCCAATGTCAACTAATCAGAGACAGCACCCTTGACAGACCTGTATAATACAGCACCCACACATTCCTAATTTTCCTATTGCCCTCTCTTTCGTTTAGCCTGTTTTAATCTTCTGTAGTATGTATATTACCACCTAATGTTTCCCATTATTATTCATTTATTTCCCTGCTTTATAGAAGCTCTAAGGTCTTTGTTTTCTTCACTGCTATATTCTGACAATCTAGAACAAACCTATCATGTAGTAAGAACACAATTAATATGTTGAATTAATTCACTGGAAAAACGAACGGCTGCTATGTGAAGAATGCGTTAGAGTGATGAGCCGAAAGATCAGGTGGAAGGCTATCACAGCAGAGCTGAGTATGGATAGTTTGGACTAGGCAAGAGGCAGGAGAAATGAAATGAAGAGATTCTATTTGAGGTTTTGGAAGAGGGAGAATGAAAAGAACATGTAGTTGGAATGAAATACGGAAGACTGGAACTCTGGTAGCCGGTCTTCAAGATGGCGCCCAATGACCTTTGCCTTCTGTCTTTGTAGTGGGGTCTTTGCGCAGACCCTCCCACACCAACCGGGCAGAACTGCGTGGTTAGTAGAACACTGAAGAACTGAGAGTGTGTGGCTTCCAAGGTGAGGCCATACATGACACTGTCGCTTCCGTCTTGCTCTCTTGGATTGTTGACTCACTCTACAGGGGACCAGCCATTCTGTCATGAAGACACGCAAGGAGCCCTGCATAAGCACCCATAGGGAGAGGAACTGACAGCCAGCGGCAACTAGCCAGCTGTGCGAGTGGATCATCTTGCAAAGGATCCTCCGGTCCCTGTCAAACCTTCATATGACAAAGACCCCAGGAGTATGTGACTGTGACCTCATGAGAGTCCCCAGGTGAGAACAACCTATCTAGCTGTGAGCCAAATTCTCACCTATCTAGCTGTGAGCCAAATAAAGATTCATGATCATTTTAGGCCATCAGTTGCGTCATAATTTCTTGCACAGCAATGAACAACGAATACAAGGGCCAGTGAGGGAAAGAATCCACTCCCAGATTTCTACCTTCAATAACTTAATGGGTGATGGTGTCATTTATCAAGATGGGAAAGACACAGGGACAATAATCACACTAGTCACCGCCCTCAAGGAATAAGTCTGTAGATTCACGACTGAAAAACATTTGTAACCTTTGTTCACAAATTTCTGTCTCTCCCACCTTTTAGAATTCCTCGTAAAGAAACAATCTTTAGGGGCGCCTGGGTGGCGCAGTCGGTTGAGCGTCCGACTTCAGCCAGGTCACGATCTCGCGGTCCGTGAGTTCGAGCCCCGCGTCAGGCTCTGTGCTGACAGCTCAGAGCCTGGAGCCTGTTTCCGATTCTGTGTCTCCCTCTCTCTCTGCCCCTCCCCCGTTCATCCGTTCATGCTCTGTCTCTCTCTGTCCCAAAAATAAATAAACGTTGAAAAAAAAAAAAAAAAAAGAAACAATCTTTAAGGGGGGGCGGGGAGAGGAATGTGTGTGTATTCTAACAGTGGTATTCGTTAGAAGTGAAAAATTAAAAACAATCTTTATAAATAAGAGAGAACAAGTAATGAAGGACCTACCAAGTAAAGCGTGATGCACCAACATATAGAATATTCCTCAGCCATTTTAAAGGATAATTACCAAGGTTGTGCAGCTGTGGTAGACTTGGTTCACAGCCCACAAAACGTTATGATCCGCTTCCACAGGACAGACATGTCACTGAATAGCACCCCCCTCCAGCCCCCAGCCAGGGGCTACATTTCCCAGACCACCCTTGCATCTAGTGTGGCCACACGACTAATTTCACAGCAGACAATAAATGAACAAGAGAACGGAACAGAAGTAACGCCTGTGCCTTCTGGGCCAAAGATGGTGAGAAACAGATCTACCTCATGTGCCTAGTTCCTCTTCCACAGACTCCGTGCAGGTGAACGCGCGGCTCTAAGAGATACAGAGCCACAAGATGGAAGCCAAGAGTCTTTGCTCAACAGCCAAAACCCTCTGACAGGGGTGAGAAATAACTCTCCACTGTGTTTAAAGGCAATAAAAGTTGTTTACCGTTAAAAAGGCTTACTTGCTATAACAAATGACATTTTCTTAAATGTTATAGAAGGAACACAGACAACGCTTTAATGCTAAATCAAAAACGCCGAATACAAAGTAAGTGTTACGCTATTACGACAATGTAAAGTTCTATATGCCTTGTGACCAGGACTTGGAAAAAATACAAAAATAAATAGGTACAACTCATTTGTTAAGTAGTCAAGATTATAGACCAACTTTATATCTGAAATGAATCTCAATGATTTCTTTTTTGAAAAGGTACTATATATTCTGTTTAAGAAGGTTAATGTGAGAAAAAAAATACTTGAATAAAAATTTACCCTTTAACATTCTGGTTATCACTGATTAACAGAAGATTAAGTTCGAATTATCTGGAAATTTTACCCAGGTAGCCCTGCTCATTAAACCACCGATACCATAATAATGGGGTAGGGCTGTACGCTGAATATAAATCTAGTTGGGGGGCATCTGAGGCACGATAAGGGCTGGAGGAGATACATGAGAGTAAGTGACAGTGCTTCTAAGGTAAGACACGGGAAATCACGAAGATATTTGCATCCCCTGCGAATGCTCACTAAAAAGTGACTTGAGCAGGGAGTGACTTTACAAATCAAGTGGGTAGGATGACCTGTTCTGTGAATACCGGTCAGCTTCTTACCCCAGCCACTCGTGTCATTGACCGACGGGCTCAGGAACAAAGCGGCCACAGTGGCAAGAAGGGAGGTCATACATGGGCTCAGCAACGTAGATTTCCTCTCGCCAAAGCCAACCTGGCTACGGCCACCACTGGGCGTGCGATCTGCCAGGAGCAGAGACCAACACTGAGTTCCCAATATGGCGTCATTCCCGAGGTGATCAGCTAACCAGCTGGTGGCGGGTTGATTGCATTTGGACCACTTCCATAATGGTGGGGAAGGAACTTTGTTCTCACTGAAGGAGAGACACAGGAGAGAAGATACATCCAGAGGAAGAGGTAGAGATCAGAGGAAAGTGGCCACAAGCCAAGGAATGCCAAAGAATGTGGGAGCCACCGGAAGCCATAAGAGGCATGGAATGATTCTCCCTTAGAGCCCTCAGTGGCAGCACGGCCCTGCTGGATTTCGGACTTCTGGCCTCTAAACTGTGACAGACGAAATTTCTGTTGTTTTAAGCCACCGTGTTAATGGCAATTAGTTACAGCAGCCGTGAGAAACTAAACCAAAAATCTCTAAACAAATGCAAAATCTATATTCATTTCCTGAGGCTCTGATGTAGCAAATTGCCATAAACGTGGTGGCTTAAAAACCAGACAAAGTGAGTCTCTCGTAGTTCCGGAGGCCAGAAGTCTGAACTCCAGCAGGGCCCCCTTCCTCCGAAGGCTTCAGGGGAGAATCTGATCCATGCCTTTACCAGCTTCTGGTGGCCGCCCTGCATTCCCGGGTTGGTGGCCGCATCACGCCATCTCTGTCCTTCCTCTTCACCTCACCCTCTGCTCTGTGTGGCTGTTTCCTCGTCTTCCGTCAGCTCTGCCTCTACCAGTCATCCCAAGACAAACGTCATTGGGGAAAACGTGGTTTCAAGAGCTAGTAATTGATCAAAGAAATAGAGCCTTCGGAAGCCCTGTTGTTGAAGCAAAGAGCACTCACTTTCAAAGTTCAAAGATGGAGATGGGAGTCCTGCCTCTCTACCCCCGACTAGGGAAAATCACGTCACTTTTCCGATGCTCCATGTTTTTGTCTGCAAAGCCGAGAGGGGGCAGGGTTGTGAAAATTCACTGGAGATGAGATTCCATAAAGACAAAAACCCTTCATGAAACGAACTGTGACACAAATTACGCTGCTGCCTCCCCCGAATTGCATCCCCCTCCTCCAACACTTCAAATTCACTTTCAGACAACAGGTTATCCCTTAAACTACCATTTCACTTTCCAATAGAA